CGGCACGCGGCCGCGGCCCTGGCTGCCATGAACGGCAGGAAGATAATGGGTAAGGTAAGCTGCTGTGCTCTGGGGTGAGTCTGGGGGGAACAGGATGTGCCAGGGGAAATCCTGCTGGGAAAAGGATGTCCTGAGTCTGGGGGGAACAGGATGTGCCAGGGGCAAATCCTGATGGTGAAAGGATGTCAGGGTCTGGGGGGAAAATGGGATGTGCCAGGGGAAAATCCTGATGGGAAAGGATGTCAGGGTCTGGGGGGAGCAGGATGTGCCAGGGGGAAATCCTGCTGGGAAAGGAGGGGATGTGCTGCAAATGCCAGACTCTGGCTTTGGGGTGGAGATCTTAGTGGGGCACAACTCAGAAGGGGAGTTCAGAGTGTTGGGAGGAGGAGTTCAGGTCATGGAGAGGAGAAGTTCAGAGCTTTGGGAGGAGTTCAGAGCATGGAGAGGAGAAGTTCAGAACATGGAGAGGAGGAGTTCAGTGTTGGGAGAAGTTCAGAGCAAGGAGAGGAGGAGTTCAGAGCATGGAGAGGAGGAGTTCAGTGTTTTGGGAGGAACTTGGAGCTGAGGATGTGGAACTGGGAGAAAAATCCCAGAATTGCAGAGTGGTTGGAGGGCCCCTCTGGAGACCATCCTGTGCCGTTCATTCAGAGCAGGGTGCACAGGGTAGTGTCCAGGCAGGGTTCTGATGTCTGCTGAGGAGATACCACAGCCTGTTCCAGGCCTCAAAGGAAAGTTTTCCTTCATATTTTCTCTCATATTTTCCTTCTTTTCCTCATATTCAGGAGGAATTTCCCATGTTTCAGTCCATGCCTGTTGTCCCTTACCCTGGGCACCACTGACCAGAGCCTGTCCCCATCCTCTTCACAGTCACCCCTGAGACATTTGGGAGCCATTCCCTGTGTCCTGTCCCTCCATCCCTTGTCCCCAGTCCCTCTCCAGCTCTCCTGGAGCCCCTTCAGGCCCTGCAAGGGGCTCTGGATCCTTCTCCTCTGCAGGTGAACACCCCCAGAGCAGGGGAGCTGTAGCCCTGTTCATTTAAGAACAAACCCTCTCCCATAAAAAATATCTTAAACTTGTGTTTTATCCCCAGCCTTGCACATGGGGGACCCTGTAGGGTCACTGAGCACTGAGGAAGTCTGAGCTTTTCTGGATTTTTTAGGGATTTGCCAAATCTGATGTGTGATTCCCGTTTGCAGGAGGTCAAAGTGAACTGGGCCACCACCCCTAGCAGCCAGAAGAAAGACACCAGCAGTAAGTGTCACCTGTGCCCCGAGCTGTGCAAGCTGTGAAACTGAAATGCACCACACAGAGCTCTGTGGGAATGGTTTTGATTGGAATCCTAATTATTTATGGTGTCTGCGTTAATTAAACTTCAGGGCAGGTCTGATCTTTGCCATCACACAGCGTTCACAAGTTAATTGTGTCTTCTTAAACATTAAACTGTGGATCTCCAGGGTGTTCCCTGATGCTAAGTTTGGGGGGGTTTTGGTTTTTTGCCATTGAATTTTTAGGGAAGGACTTTCCTTCCATTTCCCTGCAGCATCAGGAGGGGATTTGGTGCAAATCCGTGGCTCTTTGGTACCTGTGCAGTTGTGAATTAAAGCCCAAAATGCCTCATTCTGTATTTCTGAGGCACATTGAGCATCCAGGCTCCTTCCAGGACAGGTTCCATCATTCCCAACAATTTCTGTGGAGAAATTCTTGGAATTTCAGGCTGGAGTGGGCTAAACCCCATCAGTGCCTGAGGGAGTTTGGTGCCTGCTGTGTCACACTTTGGTGGGCTGAGGTGGAAAACTCCTGGGATTGAAGCCTTTTGTTCCTGTTTCTCATGAGGAAGGGATCCCCTTTCCATCCTGAGCCCTCAGTCCCCCTCCACTGCAGTGTCCCAGGAGCACCCTGGGATGGTTTTTAAATCCCTTCCCACCCAAACCACTCCAGGATTCCACATCACAGCCTAGTGCTGGCACAGAGACAGAGAGATTTCCCTGGACACCGGGCACATGAGGTGTAAATAGCCTCAGAGCTGTGCAGAACGTGCTGGCAGGCCTTAAAAGCAGTTTGTAAAATTCAAGATATAAATGTGTGTCCTTAGATCACTGACTTGTGGCCCTGCCAGGCACAGGGTCTGTCAGGAACAGCAGGAATTCTGTTCCACAGCAAACTCTGCTCTTCCTGGAGCATTTAATACTGGCTTTTGTGGTATTTAATAAGTGCTTTTGTGCTTTTTAATCATGTATTTTGAATAACAGCTGGAGTTTTAATAAAGGGATTCTTAAGAAGAGTTTCTTTTACTCTTTTCTGCTCAGAGGGTGTCTTCAAGCACTAAATCCTCCTTTCTCTTTTCCCCCAAAGACCATTTCCACGTCTTTGTCGGAGACCTCAGCCCTGAGATCACAACTGAAGACATCAAAGCAGCCTTTGCTCCCTTTGGAAGAATCTCGTAAGTCCTTCTTGAGGGCAGAGCAAGGTCTCAGCTTTGTGCTCAGTGACACTGTGGCAGTGCAGGGACCACACTCCTGCTCCCACAGCCACATCCTTCATCCCAGCTCTTCTGCTCTCCCAGCAAAGCTGGGAAATCCAGACCCTGCTCCTGGGCTGTGCATTTCCCTCGGCACTCCGGGTGTTTGGTGCCAGCCACCCTTAGCCAACTTTTTTCTGGGTTTTTTGTGGACTTAATTCCCATTTCCCTCAAAATGAGCCTTTTTTTGGAGCACCTTGGGGCAGCATCACCTTGTCTGAGACCCCACACATCCATCCAAGCCCTTTGGGCCAGGGAGCTGAGCTGGTCCCAGCAGGGCAGGGACGTTCCCAGTGTCCCACAGCAGAGCCAGGAGCAGCCCCTCCATATTATATATATAATTATATTATTTAATTAATTTTATTATATAATTATATTATTCAGCCTGTTGGCTGAATTCTTTAATTCTTGGGTTTATATATTATAAAATATAAACCAAAGAATTAAAGAATTCAGCCAACAGGCCACGAATGCCTTTCAATTCCTATTTTTTTTATTTTGATTTTTTTTTTTATTTTTGATTTTTTTTATTTTGATTTTCTGTTCATTTCTATTTAACATTTGCAACGAGCAGGTAGAACGTGTTGGCAAATAAATATGAGATTTATTTTTTTTTTTAAAAAAAAACAAAACAAAAATTCTTAAAAATAAGATTTTAAAACTTGCATGGATCCAGAGAGCCAGGCAAGCTCCTGCAGTGATCTGGAGCCTGTAAAACGCAGCCATTTCTTGGGGGATCTCTTGATTTGCAACGTTTTAAGTTTAATTTTGCTCCTTTAGCCAAGCTGAGTGTGGACAAGGAGTGGTGCTGGTGGAGGGGAGAGGAGAGAGGTGGAGCTGAGCCGGTTCCCTTTGTGCTTTCAGGGATGCACGGGTGGTCAAGGACATGGCCACGGGCAAGTCCAAGGGCTATGGCTTCGTCTCCTTCTTCAATAAATGGGTAAGAGCTCTTTGTTTCCTTCCTCAAAAAATGGTTAAAATCCCTTCATTTCCTCCCTCAAAAAATGGGGGAAATCCCTTCATTTTCTCCTTCAAAAAATGGATAAAATCCCTTAATTTCCTCAAAAAAATGGATAAAATCCCTTCATTTTCTCCTTCAAAAAATGGGGGAAATCCCTTCATTTTCTCCTTCAAAAAATGGTTAAAATCCCTTAATTTCCTCAAAAAAATGGGGGAAATCCCTTCATTTTCTCCCACAAAAAATGGATAAAATCCCTTAATTTCCTCAAAAAAATGGATAAAATCCCTTCATTTCCTCCCTCAAAAAATGGGGGAAATCCCTTCATTTTCTCCTTCAAAAAATGGTTAAAATCCCTTAATTTCCTCAAAAAAATGGGGGAAATCCCTTCATTTTCTCCCTCAAAAAATGGATAAAATCCCTTAATTTCCTCAAAAAAATGGGGGAAATCCTGTTATTTTCTCCCTCAAAAAATGGATAAAATCCCTTAATTTCCTCAAAAAAATGGATAATATCCCTTCATTTTCTCCTTCAAAAAATGGTTAAAATCCCTTAATTTCCTCCAAAAAATGGATAAAATCCCTTCATTTTCTCCTTCAAAAAATGGTTAAAATCCCTTCATTTTCTCCTTCAAAAAATGGGGGAAATCCCTTCATTTTCTCCCTCAAAAAATGGGGGAAATCCTTTCATTTTCTCCCTCAAAAAATTGGTAAAATCACTTTGTTTCCCTCTTAATAAATGGGTAAAATCCTTTCATGTCCCTCTTCAATAAATGGGGAAAATCCCTTTATTTTCCTCCAAAAAATGGGTAAAATCCCCTTAATTTTCCTCTTAATAAATGGATAAAATCCCTTAATTTCCTCCAATAAATGGGTGAAATTCCTTCATTTCCCTCTTAATAAATGGGTAAAATCCTTTAATTTCCCCACCCAATAAATGGGTAAAATCACTTTGTTTTCCTCTTAATAAATGGGTAAAATCCCTTCATTTTCCTCTTAATAAATGGATAAAATCCCTTAATTTCCTCAAAAAAAATGGATAAAATCCCTTCATTTTCTCCCTCAAAAAATTGGTAAAATCACTTTATTTTCCTCCAATAAATGGGTGAAATCCCTTCATTTCCCTCTTAATAAATGGGTAAAATCCTTTAATTTCCCTCTTAATAAATGGGCAAAATTCCTTCATTTCCTCCCTCAATAAATAGGTAAAATCATTTTGTTTTCCTCTTAATAAATGGGTAAAATCCCTTCATTTTCCTCCAGTAAATGGGTGAAATCCCTTCATTTCCTCCTTCATCAATAAATGGGTAAAATCCCTTTGTTTCCCTTCAATAAATGAGTAAAATCCCTTCATTTCCTCCTTCAATAAATGGGGAAGGTGTTAGATTCCTTCAGAAAACGGGAAAAATCCCTTCATTTTCTTCTTCAATAAACGGGAAAGATCCCTTCATTCACTAAATTGGTGGGATCCTTAATTGATTTCTTTAATAAATGGGAAAGATCTTGAGTAAATGGATTAGATCCCTTCATTTCCCTCTCCAATCTCTCACAGTCTGGATCTTGCCCAGCTGATTTTCACTTTGCTTTCCCTGCCTGGAATGGGGGAGGCTTCTCTTCCTCTGAATCCATGGAATTCACGGAATTCCACAACAAATGGGGCTGGAAGGAGCTGGGGCAGGGACCCCTCCCACTGTCCCAGGGTGCTGCAAGCCCCGTCCAGCCCAGCCTGGGGCACTTCCAGGGTCGCTCAGGAGGGCAGTGGGGTCACCCCCGTGGCTCTGACCCACAGGAAGGGGGCCAGCAGTGGGGTCACTCCCGTGGCTCTGACCCACAGGAAGGGGGCCAGCAGTGGGGTCACCCCCGTGGCTCTGACCCACAGGAAGGGGGCCAGCAGTGGGGTCAGCGGGGTTTTTCTCTCCTCCAGGACGCCGAGAACGCCATCCAGCAGATGGGGGGGCAGTGGCTCGGGGGCCGGCAGATCCGGACCAACTGGGCCACCAGGAAACCTCCAGCTCCCAAGAGCACCTATGAGAGTAGGTGGCCACCCTGTGCCCTGCCAGCTCCTGGGGTGGGGGATCCCCGAGATTTTGGGGTGGGAAGGACCTCAGAGCCAATCCCACCCCACCCCAAGGTGCTCAAAGCCCCGTCCAGCCTGGCCTTGGGCACTGCCAGGGATGGAGCAGCCACAGCTGCTCTGGGAATTCCATCCCAGCCCCTCCCCACCCTCATTCCTTCCCAATATCCCTCCCCAATTTCCCCTTTCCCATTTTAAAGTCATTCCCTGCATCCTTGTCCTGCCATCCCTTGTCCGCAGTCCCTCTCCAGCTCTCCTGGAGCCCCTTCAGTCCCTGGAAAGGGCTCTGAGGTGTCCCAGGAAAGATCTGCAGGTTGTTCCCACCATCCTGTGCCAGTCAGGGCTAAAATTCCCCCCAATTCCCATCCCACCCCTTGAAAATCCCACCCAATCTCTTCCAGCAACCACCAAACAATTGTCCTACGACGAGGTGGTGACTCAGTCCAGCCCCAGCAACTGCACCGTGTACTGCGGGGGGGTCACCTCGGGCCTCACAGGTACGTGTGGCCCCAGCCCGTGGCAGCTGTCCCCTTGTCCCCACGGCTGCCTCACGCTGCTCTCTGTCCTTCCTGCTCCAGAGCAGCTGATGCGCCAGACCTTCTCCCCCTTCGGGCAGATCATGGAGATCCGAGTGTTCCCGGATAAAGGATACTCCTTCGTCAGGTGGGAGTGGGCTTGGGGCTGGGGGTGTCGCAGGTTAGAGGGGTTTTCCTTCCTCTGCTCTGAGGAGGGGTTGTAAAAAATGGGGAAAATCCCTGAAATCCCTTGGAACAGGGCCCTTTGTCCTTCAGGACTTCAGTCACCACTGTCACTAAACCCTCCCAGGTTAGAGGGGTTTTCCTTCCTCTGCTCTGAGGAGGGGTTGTAAAAAACGGGAAAAATCACAGAAATCTCTTGGAGCAGGGCCCTTGGTCACACATCACCACAGAGGAGTCACTAAACCATCCCAGTTAGAGGGGTTTTCCTGCCTCTGCTCTGAGGAGGGATCATGGCTGTAATAAAATGGGGAAAATCCTTGAAATCTCTTGGAACAGGGCCCTTTGTCCTTCAGAACTTCAGTCACCACTGTCACTAAACCCTCCCAGGTTAGAAGGGTTTTCCTTCCTCTGCTCTGAGGAGGGATTGTAAAAAATGGGGAAAATCACAGAAATCGCTTGGAGCAGGGCCCTTGGTCACACATCACCAGAGGAGTCACTAAACCATCCTAAGTCAGAGGAGTTTTCCTTCCTCTGAGGAGGGATTTCCCTCCCTGAGGAGGGATCATGGCTGTAATAAAATGGGAAAAATCCCAAAAAACCACTTGGAACAGGGCCCTTGGTCATGTGGGACCTTTGTCAGCCCAGAGGAGTCACTGAACCCTCCCAGATTAGAGAGATCAGAGGATTTCTGCTCCCTCTGCTCTGAGGAGGGATCATGGCCATAAAAAGTAAGGAAAATCCCAGAAATTTAGTTCCACTTGGAACAGAGCTCTTTTCATATGGGAAGATCCCTTCATTTCCTTCTCCAGTTAATGGGAAGATCCCTTCATTTCCTTGCAATGAATGATGACTTCCACCTTTCCCATTTAGTAAAAGAATTAATTAAAAACCAATTTTAAAAGTTTAAAAATTAATAAATTGTCTAATCTTTCCCATTTAATAAACGAATCAGTTAAAAAAATCAATAAAAAAAAATTTTAAAAAGTCAAAAATTAACGAATTAACGTTAAAAATTGAATGGTAAAAAATTAAAAATTAACGAAACCCAAATCTTTCCCATTTAGTAAGAAAATCAGCACAAACCAACCAATTAAAAAATAAAATAGTTTAAAAAAATCAATAAATTGACTGCTCTCCTTGCCGAGTTCCCCAATTTATTTAGGGAGAATCACAGCACGGAGTCATTCCCAAGAAATATTCCCGATTTCATCCCGACAGGTTCAATTCCCACGAGAGCGCTGCCCACGCCATCGTCTCCGTCAACGGCACCACCATCGAGGGCCACGTGGTGAAGTGCTACTGGGGCAAGGAGACACCCGACATGGTCAGCCCTGTCCAGCAGGTCAGGCAGCTCCTGAGGCGCTAATTAACCACCCTGTTAATTGGCTGGGGAGTGGGGATGGGATAGATGATGGATGATGGATGGATGGATGGATGGATGGATGGATGGATGGATGGATGGATGGATGATGGATGATGGATGGATGATGGATGATGGATGGATGGATGGATGATGGATGGATGATGGATGATGGATGGATGGATGGATGATGGATGATGGATGGATGGATGATGGATGGATGGATGGATGATGGATGGATGATGGATGGATGATGGATGGATGGATGGATGATGGATGATGATGGATGGATGGATGGATGATGGATGATGGATGGATGGATGATGGATGGATGGATGATGGATGATGGATGATGGATGATGGATGGATGGATGATGGATGGATGGATGATGGATGGATGG